AAAAAGGGGAGTCCTAAATATTCAAATTACCTTCCCCTTATCCTAATTATTCCCAACTTCCTAACTTATTTTACTAAAAAATCTCATCCCATTTATTTTTTATTTTTTTTCTTCTCTCTCTCTCTTTGGACGTTCATTTCACTTTTTTTTATTTAATTTTCTATTATTATTATTTATTTATTTTATATCCATCCTTATCTCAACCCCAATCCCCTCAACAATATTTAAAATTAAATCCTAATCCAGCTCTATTAAGTTCCTTTTAATTAGCACCAAACTCTCAACCAAAATTATTATTAAAAAACATGTTCAATTGAAATATAGAGAACACACAGATACAGAGAAAAACAGAGAGGAAAAGAGAGAAATACAGAGAGAAATATATAGAGCAAACACAAAGAGAAGAAAAGTGAGTCATTCTTTTGAGAATTAGGTCAGCGTTAGAGTTTTTTTTGTCGTGGTTCCAAATTCGTGACTCAAATCAGTAGATCATAGAAGTTATTTTTCGTGATATTCATCTTCACAGCGGGGTAATTCTAAACTCTTGCATTATTTAAATGTAATGTTGTATGAAAATTTGAATATAATAATATGAAGTTCTTTGAATCGTATGTTATCATTATGCAATATCAATATGTGATGCATGTTAAGATTTTTTTTTTCTCGATCTGAAAAATGAGAAATAAAAAAATGTTTCTTGCTAAAAAATAATATGAAAATAAAATATGTATCATACATTTTTGTATTATTATTATTGTCTAAACTTTTATTAGATGCAATTTAAATGATTTTGTAATTTAATAAGTTAATGTTCTTCTAGAGCCTAGTTTTTTACTAAAAATAAAAATAAAATTTATAAACTTGTTACACTAGGATGTAAACTAATTTTTTTTAATTGATTAGTAATTAAAAGAAAAACTTATGTGTAATGCGTTTTTTTACACATTATTTGGATTAAAAATTATCTTTAGAATAAGTACAAGATAGTTATCTAATTCGAATTATCAAAGTTTATCATTGAGAAAATACATAAATATTATTTAGAGTCATAACTAAAATTAAAAATAATGAGAAAGAGTAAAAAAAAATGAATGAAAAACCAGAGGAATAAAAAAAAAAGAAAAAAGAAGGTAGCATAAAAAAAAACAGAAACAGAAAAAAAAACAGAAACAGAAACAAAAAAGAAGTAGAGGAAAGGAGAATAAAAAAAAATAAAAAAATATAAAACTAATAAAATAAAAAGTAGAACCTAAAAAAAACGTAAAATAAAAAAAGGAGGTAACAAAAAAGAAAAACCACAAGAATAAAAAAAACAAAACAAAAGAAGACAGCATTAAAAAATAAGATATATAAAAAAGAAACAGAAAATAATAGAAAAAAAAGAACGTGAAAAATGAAAAAAGAAAAAGAAAAAGAAGAGAAGCAAAAAATAATTATAAAATATATAGAACAAGAAATTAAAAAAAAAGAATGAAAAAAAAAGAACGTAAAAAAGAAGAGTAACAAAATCTATAAAAATAAAATAAAAAAGGAGAAGAAGACAAATTTTATAAATAAAATAAAAAAAAGTTAATAAAACAGAAAGTTAATAAAAAAAAAGGAAAATAGAAATAAAATAATAACAAAAAAGTTAACAAAAACGTAAGTTTTTTATAAAAATAAAGTAAAAAAAAAAGAAGATAAAAAGTGAGTTCAAGAGAATGTCAACGAAAAGTAAAAAACTACTTTATTATAAAAAAAATAAAAAAATACCAAAGATAATTAAAAGAACGTGCAGCATTAAAAAAAAATTTATTTGTAAAATTAATAGTAAATCTCTCAAAATTTTACCTCTCGTTTAAAAATGTAACTAAAATAAAATAATCCTCAAATTACTCAAACACTAAAATTTCTTTTCTATATAAATTCTACTTTCAAAATATAAACATACACACACAAATACACACAAATGTTAATAAAAATAATTTAAAATAAATGGATTTTTCAAGTTTAAAATTAATGGACGTATGCATAAAAAAAATAAGATCATTTCATATAAATTAGTCAGTTTCAAATAAGTTAAACAATAATTTGGGTAAATAAAAATTTATTATTAAGTTTAAATAATATAATATCCGAAATTAAGTCAAGTCATATCAAAGTTAATAAAGCAACCGTGCTAGAACCACGGGATTCGAGGGGTGCCTAACACCTTCCCCTCGGTCAACAGAATTCCTTACCCGAATTTCTAGTTTGCAGACCAATATAAG